TTTTTTTTTTAGCAAATGTCTTGTTGTCAAAACACATTATCCAATTAGAGCTTGGAGCTAAATTTGGTGCGATTTACACAGACGTGTTTCCACTGACAGGAACAGTGCAGTAATGCAGTTCTCTCTGCTGCCAATTCTGACCATGAACATAAATTACAGACTAAATGAAACTGGCACAATGACATAACCAGAAAAAAGAGGAAGCGTCAGATCGAAAGAATTAAAAAGAGATTTGCTGAGAATTCGCAAATTTCCCCTGAGCATGGAAGAAGAGGAATGTGCTGCGATACTGTGGTGAACCAAACAGACAGTGACACACTATGTCACCAGTGGAGTAATGCCCACATCATTAAGGGTTTTTTTTTTTCATCCCTCCCACACTGTGAGGGATGGTATCGTTCTTAAGTACTACTTCAGAAATGAACTTATTATATTACATCTAAAATATATTCTTTTTTTAGATTAAAGCCCAGTAAAACTTTCCTGGGCTTTAAACGTACTCTATTTGAGCTCATTTAGTAAGTTAAGCACTTTATAGTATGTCACTAATAGCCTTCATTCAGGTGGTCTTTTTGCCCTGTGGCACATCAGGAAAATTCAAACTGTTGATGCTGTTCACAGGGTGTGTGTGTGTTGTTACAAATAAAATGCAAATTCAACTTACTCTGATCTGCATAGTTTCTAGTTTTTAGCTCTAGCTGCCGTGTGTGAGATTCCAACGTCACCAGTCGACACTGGAGATCCTTCTTCTCGCCATCCTGGGAGTCTTCCAAGGCGATGTACCTCTGCAGATTGACACAGTGAAAGCAGATATTTATTACCACAGCACTGACATTAACAAGAGTACTGTAAGCTACTGTAAGCACGAGAACATCCACTGATGATTTGTTTATGACAGCATCAGGAGGAAAAAATGTCACACATGCATGTGAGCGGTCAGCTTCCTTAGCCAGTCAAGCAATCACTGGCATCTGTTACACAAGAATGCCTGAAAGAGAAGAATGAAATAGAGCTGTGTGGACTAAATGTTGCAACTGTGTGTACTTGATAACAAGCTGGGCGATACTAATACTATCAATACAAATAGGAAACAAAGCACAGCGTCTGTCTTCTGTTCATTATCAAAGTTATCCAACATCTCAGCACAACAGGTGCAAAGCAACAGCTTCCTCACAGCTTGTGCTTGAGTGCTTTTCTGTGTACTATTTGATATACGTATCAGGATTGGTTTTGCAGCCTTCACAGCAGCAGCTGTCAGCAACCTCAGTCCTCTAAAACAGTCCTGGACATGCAATCATGTTAAATCATTACTATGATAAATTACTATGATTTCGATTTTCAACCCCTTTCTTCAAACTGTCTCCAGCCAAAAACCCATCAGTCAACATAAAATCAAACACATAAGATGAAACTGTAAAGAGATCTGGTAAAGTGGGTTTCTAAAGGATCCAATAACAAAAAAGAAGTAAATGAAATTCTTTAAAAAAGCAAATAAGACAAAATATGACTCCAAAGACCACAAGAATGCTCAAAACAGGTTTATGAACTTGGAGTGAACTCCAGTACGACATAAACAAAACTACCTTATACTGTTTAACTACAAGCACAAACCTTGTGGCACCAGTACGAAAGTCAGGAAATCACCATAGGTGCTGACACTGACTGTTTACCAAGGTGGTGGAGTAACCAAGCCAGCAGAGCCACATTACTAGTGTGACCATAAAATCTTCAGTTATTTCAGTCTAGCACTCATCATTTTGCTCTTGTGGTGTAACATACTGTGCAGCAGTATGTTACAATAAAGCAAGACTCTTATTACATTATAAAATAGAAATCAGTAATGCTGATTCATGTAGCACTATCAGTCTGCTACAGCAGTTATAATGAAGAACAGAACAGCAAACCTCAGTATTCACATGATAGGGTGGGGCTAGGTTTCACAATGAGTTCACCCAAAGCCTTGGCTGATTGTGACCCACACCCATTTTCACACCTTGGCTTGTGTGATTAGGTAGAGGATCAATAGGGGGTCCATGACCCTCTTGCAGACTCTCCACCAGTTGCTCTTAGAACTGAGGAAGCTTCTCAGATGAGAGGCAAAACGTCTTCAAGGAAACTTAAAGAAGTCCAGATGCTTTTCTTTCCAAGCTCCTTGGACTACAATGACCTGGATGACTGAGAACCTTCACAGACAGAACAGCAAAGCGCTTTGGCCTAAGTGCATTTCTGCACACACAGTGGATGACAAAGAGAGAGACCAGAAAATGTACTTCCTGCTTTACTGTTTATACCAGCAACAAAACAGACTTAACATTGTTCATACACAACAAATAAGGAACTAGTCGACTCTCTTTTATTAACGGACTTAACTGAAACGGTACCAGCTGAACATATAAAATGTTTGAAGTTAGAAAATCTGTCTGGTTCTGTATTCTTTTTTCAAGCTGGCAACAGTAGACTAATCAGACACATTATAAGGTAAATTAGGGGTTGCACATCTTGTATTAGCCAAACGGGCGACTAAGTATAGGCACTTATCCAGTGCATCGGATCAGCATGTGTTTAGGCTTTGCTGCTAATGCGGCTAAAAAAGGTTATTGTTTCTTACATGAATATTTTCTATGTCTACAGCAGAGATCAAATGTTTCAGTAGATCACTCAACAAATAATTAAAATAATAAAATGCTGCATTACTCAGATCTTTGGCAAAGTAAGAAGGTGGGGAACTGTTAAGGTTGCATTTACAGTTTCAAGAGAACTTAAAAACTTAAAGGGATGGGGAATCTTATAGCTACAGGTCAGAATAAGTGCAACAATAAAATACAGTAGGTCCCATTAGACAGCATCAAACATGACAGACAGCATCACCGTTTTGATAACTAAAGGTTAAAGGCTACAGCCAAACTTCTAGTAAAAGGGAATACACGGGGTACTGCTGGCCTCTTTGTCTCATTTGTACAGATACCTCAGCTGAATCAGGTGTCTGATGCTGTAAACATGCAGTCTTGTGATGCAGATGTGAATTAGACACCCTGCAGTAGAGCCCCGGGCTGGTGGTGAGTATCATCTGCAGAGAGATGAGGGTCACCTGAGAAGCCTGTTACAAGCAGCCTCTTATTTAAACATGTCCCATTAAGACCTGAGGTGTATAAAAAAAAAAAGGTGTTTCATCAAGAAAACTTTGTGATTTTTTAAAAATAACACGGTCAGATGTCTTTATCTGTGGCCGCAGTCTGCACATGTACATATCAAAGACATGAGGTAAATAGGTGAAGCAGCAGCGGTCTGTGTTTTAAAAAACCTTCTCCAGTTTCCCCCTAAGACTTTCAACAATTAACTTTAAAAGACACCATTTAACACCATAAAGGACTAACTGACTCTACAGCTGACATATGTTGACCCCCACTCACCCAACACACACACACACTGTAGCAACACATTTATCTACATAACTCCCAAACTCTTTCTCACCACGCTGCTCCTCATATGACCTGGGAAGGAGGCTTGCACATATGACAGCGCTCCAGAGAATAAGTGTTCCAGCGTTTAACCATGCACTCTTCCCCCTACGCTACATGGATAATGAGCTCTTTGTCCCTGGGTGCCAACACACACTCTCCTACTAACAAACACATGTGCTTCCAGAACAAGTGTGTGCCTACCCCCACACAGGGCTTCACTGTATTGGCCACTCAATTGACAGAGACTGAAATCAGCTCCTTTTTAGAGCTTTTGGCTGTAGATTCCTGCTGGGATGTTTAGGACAGCTGGGGGCGTTTGAGGTCCTGGACACCAGATGCAGTAAAGGGTTAGATGATCTCTTGCAGTAGTCTAATAGATTTCCAAAAGTCACAGTAAAATAATTTGTCTTGTAGATAACACTGTGTTGACAACATACTGTGGGATCCTACTCATCTTTCTTAGAACTGCAATGAGTCGATTTATTAGTCAAACAAAACACCAACTACTTTCATAATTAATCTTCACACAAAATTTCAACCAAAACCACTAAAACTTTATTCTCAGATGCCAGAAAT